CAAAGATTTGTCCTGACTGTGGGCAAGGCAGGAAAACTGTAGCTACACTTAAGGTTTTGTGAAGTGGCTGAACCCGGAGAGAAAACCATTTTTAGCCTTCAATCAAGAAGAAAATACAAACCTGATAGTTTCACTTGAAGTTCAAAGCTCTATTAGGAGTGTTAGAGGTCAGGGCAGCTCCAACTTGGAGGGCGGGAGTGAGAGGCGTGTTAGGATGTTCTGGGTGGCTGGGCCTCTTCTCTGCAAGGTGTTTGAGCTCAGTGAGAATTCTAACGGAACGTTGGCTTCCCTCACTTCTCTGAACGTATTTTATGTGTCAATTTAAGAACCATTTGAAAAACGAGCCCTTTGGGTTGCAATGACAACACCTGAGCGGAAGCTGGCCCGTGTTCTGGAGGAAGTTTATAAGGATGCCAAGGGGAGTGGCCAACAATGGACCTAGAGCACCAACGTTGCCAGCACTCGGGCATCCACCGTGAGTGCCTCCTGCCGGGTAACAGATACCGATGAAAAGCTGTTTTATATTCCATGCACTCTGGCATTGGTGCTGCAGACCTATTTTGTGTTTGCTCATGAACTGGTTCACACATATAGACAGCACCCCCTTCCTAGGAAAAGCCCCCCCCCCTCCCCTCTGTGGTTCTCACAGAAGCTATGCTTTTGAAACTGAACTCCAACTTTCTGGCCGCACCCCATCAATCCACTAGTGAGTGGACCTCAGAATTTGAGGGATGCTGACTTTGGTACTCTTGGATGTGTTCCCGCAGCCCTCCCGGTGACTCTGAAGTTGAACCCCACACAGGGCATCTGCGTTCTTTGATGAAGTCTGCTGTTTCTTTAAAAAGTAGTTTTGCACAGAGAAACCCTGTCTCGAAAAACCAAAAAAAAAAAAAAAAAAAAAAGTAGTTTTGGCTAATGAGCTGGCGAAGCTGGCTCAGTTGGTCAAGTGCTTGCTGTAAAAACACGAGGACCTGAGCTCAGTCTCGTATCAAAAGCTGCAGCATGAGTTTGTGATCCCAGCACTGGGGAGCCAGACAGGAAGACCCGGGGCTCGCTGGCCACCTAGTGTAGTTCCGTCAGCAAGCTCCACATTCAGTGAGGAACCTCATCTCAAAAAATAAGGGGGGAGGCACGCACGCGCAC